AGATGATTCCAGCGTCCAGTAGCTTAATAATCTCCTTTTTTACCACTTCCTTCATGACTGGGTTGAGTTTTCTTTGTCCTTCAATGGTTGGCTTGGCATCGTCTTCAAGTAGAATCTTGTGCATACATATAGAAGGATTGATGCCCTTAATGTCTGAAATTGACCATCCAATGGCTTCCTTGTGTAACCTCAGCACTCTTAGCAGCTTATCCTCTTCAGTACTTGTAAGCATAGAAGAAATAATCACAGGTAAGGTATTACTTGCTCCAATATAGGCGTACTTCAAATGTGAGGGCAGAGGATTAAGTTCCAGATGAGGTGGTTCTTCAATTGAAGGGTTAAGGCATCTTCCTTCCTTAGTCAGGTCTAACAGTTCAAAGGGTTGTTGTTTAGGATGCCACTCGGGGGAGTGGTTCAGGTAACTCAGGCAAGTGAGCCTGTACTCATCCCCTCCTTCCTGTTCCTCATTACTGTCTGGGCATAAGAGTTCCTTGAGGAGTTCATCTTGTAGCATTTCTTCTAACACTGCTTCTTCTACTTGTACACTTCTTACCATGTAGCAGTTATGGACTTTAGCAGGATATCTCATATTTTTTAAGATGTTGAAGATAACCTTTTCTCCATCAAAGTGCAGTGTGATTTCTCCCTTTTTCACCTTAATGATTGCATCACTTGTTGCCAGAAAAGGTCTCCCCAAGATGATGGGCACATCCATGTCCTCTTCCATGTCCAAAACCATAAAGTCTGCTGGGTAAACGAAATTCCCAACCTTCACAAGAACATCATGTAAGATTCCCTTTGGGTAGGTCAGTGACCTATCTGCTAACGGCAATGTCATGTTAGTAGGTACCAGAAATTTGTCCAGATCAAATGATTTAAATACAGACAATGACATGAGATTTATGCTTGCACTAAGATCTAGTAATGCTTTTGAAAATTCTCTGATTCCTACCATGCAAGGAAGAGTGAAACTACCCGGATCTTTTAGCTTAGGTGGTAATTTTTTCAGAATAGCTGCACTACATTCTTCATTTAGAGTAACAAAAGCAGAGTCGTGCACTTGTGGTTAATTAGCCACCAAATCTTTCAAGTACTTGAAGTATTTAGGCATTTGTTTAAGTGAATCAACAAGTGGTACATTAATATGTATGCTTTTCAAATTTTGGATAAACCGGTTGAGTCCTTCATCCATCTTGGCCTTCTTTTGTCTTACCGAATATGGCGGTATTGGAACTGGCTCTTGACTTGGTTCTGGGAATCGGGCTTCTCCCTTTCCAGATTTCTCCTTAGGTTGCTCCTGTTCAACCAAATGATCATTGTCAGGTCCTTTCTCAGAAGTTGTTTCATTCTTACTTACAGGGTCACTCACGGGAGTGACTTTTTCACCTGACTGATTGAGTTGTTTTCCACTTCTGAGAGTGATAGCCTTTGCTTGCTCTTGATCATGGCTCTTGGGGTTGACAATGGTGTCACTTGGTAGGCTGCCAGATGGTCTTTCAGCATTCTGTTTTGTGATCTGAGCTAGTTAATTTTCCAGACTTTTGCAGGACACAACCAAATTTTTTATTGCATTTTGTACAGAAATCCATTCTTCTTCCCTTGATATGTACTGCTGATTAGAACGCTGTTGGTTCTGATAGTTGGGAGGTTGGCCATCTTGTCTGTGAAATCCTGGGGGTTGAGTAGGCCTCTAATAGTTCCCTTGTTGTGGTGCTTTGTTCCAGTTAGGATGCTGCTGATTTCTCCAATTGTTGAAGTTGTTGAATCCTCCAGCATTGCACTGCCTGACAAACTAGACAGCTTCCATTTTGGAGGGACAGTCATCCAAATTGTGAGATCCATCACATAACACACACACACTTCAGCCTTGGATTTGGACAGCTCACTCCTTACTTTTGTCATTTCATTCATCATAACAGCCATTTGTGCTTGCAAGTGTGTACTGGGGTCAAGTTCCATCACTCCTAGATGTTTTGTACTTGCCCTTGGATCAGATTGCCACCTTGAATGATTGGTGGTCATATTGTCAAGCAACTGCCTTGCTGCATCAACCGGGTTCATTATAAACACATCACCAGCTGAAGCATCAAGGGAGTCTCTTGTAGTTGGTAGCAACAACCCACTGATGCTCAGTTGGAGATGCTCTTCCAAGCCATGCTGAGGGCATTTCCTGATCATTTCCTTCAGTCTTTCCCATACTTCATAGAGTGTTTCAGTTCCATGCTGCTTGAAATTCATTATCTTCATTACGAGTTGTGCGGCTTTTGCGGGTGGAAAGAATTTTGTAAGGAAGCATTGTCTTAACTCTTCCCAAGTGGAGATAGAATTGTTGGGCAATGTATTGAACCATGCTTGGGCGTGATCCTGCAAGGTAAACGGGAATAACCTCAGTCTAATATCATCATTGGATAAGCCTTGAATCTTAAAAGTACTGCATAAACGCAAGAAACTTCTGATATGATCATTAGGATCTTCATGAGGTAATCCATGGAACGGGCAGGCTGACTGAGTCCATTGGATCATCTGTGGTTTCAACTCAAAATTGGTTGCCTCTACATCGGGGAACACTAAAGGGGATTGGACTTCTTCTTGTTGTGGAATAAAGAAATCTCTGAGCAATCTCTCTGGTCGATTTTGTTGATCCACACCAGGGTTCCTATTGTTCTCCGGGTTACCACCTTGGTTAGCCATTTCTGATGAACCTTCTTGGCGGTTCTGTTGTAACCGATTCTGCTCTGGCTCTGCGTATAGTAGCTTCAATTTCTGGATTAAAAACCAGTTCACTTCGTTGGTACTTTATAGTCATACACCAAAGAAAAGAAACCGAAATCTTAGTGGGGTAACCAGAGAAAAATTTTATACATTTACAAATGAACAAAAACAACAAATTTTGGAGGTTTTACGCCGTCCCCAGCAACGGCGCCACTTTCTGCTGCGTGCCGAGTTCACAAAAAATATTATTAGCTTGGATTGTGATTTTTGTAGATAATTGAAGTTAGGTCAATCCCACGAGAACACCTAATTACCAAAATTGTTAAAAGACTACCAGTTAGACAAGGTGTCACTCAGGGGAATGAAAACAATCACTCAGGGGAATACAAACCAGGGGTGTTCATCTCCTCTTCCTAATGTAGTAATCGTATAATCAGCACTGTAATGGTTAAACTCTTGTTCATTCAGCTCACTTATAACTCTAAGTCAGTTTCCATTTTTCCTAGAGTCATCTTTGTAACCTTAACAATCTATTTTCCAATGATTGATTCCAGTTATAAAGTCATTAAGATCTCAGGCTTGTATGAATGCTCATGCCAACTAAGTATAATCATATCTTAGTTAAAACCATAGACTGTTACCTCTATGTCATAAGTTGAAGTTGAAACAATCCAGACCAAGTTTATTTTTCCAGATCTCTCTTAATTCTAATATGCATTCAATTTAGTGATCAAGTAAATGAATGTAAAAAAACTTCCAACTTCGAAACAAAGAACAGAACAAGTGCATTACAACAACTCCAACATAGGTTGAGGAGATTAACTCCTAGAAGCTACTTATGCAGATTAATGCTACATCTACTACATCAAAAGACATCATAGAAGTATGCATCATAAAACGAAGTTCAAGCCAACAGTCAAGAGACGAGAAAAAAGCTTGTGCAGTTCTGAACCACTCCTGAGAGTGAAAGAGTTCACTCAGGGAAATGAGGCAGTGACTGGAATTGCTGTTCTTCAAGTCTGTTGCCTTCTAAGTTTCTGTTGTTCTCCCTTCTTGTCTTCCTTCTGGATCTTTTCTGTGTATTCTTGGCAACTGAAAGGTATAGCCAGATATGCCCATTTCTGAGAGTGCAGCTCCCCTATTATAGAGCCCTGAAGCCGGTTCTTCAACCAAGAGAGCCTCCCCATGCTTGTGAATTGTTTAATCCTTCCTAGGCCTTGTGTCTGAAATCCGAAATTGATTGGTCTTCTTCTCTTCTTCTAGTAGTGGCAGCAACAACCTCATTGATCAGTACGGGTTGTTAGAAATTCGGCCAAGGAGACAAGCATGTCTTTGGAATTCTAAGCAGAAATACACTCATTAATGTCAAGGTGCTTTGTGTCTTGGGAGTGTTTTTTCGACCAGCTCAGCAAAATTGAATCCAGCAACCCACAAATTGTCCCTTTTGGCCCCAATTTTCAGCAATTGTTCAATCAAGTCCTAATTTAATAAAAACACAAAACCTAGTTAAGTAAAATGTACTAATACTAAAAAATATCCCTAATTTCTTACTAAATTCAGAGTTAATTGTGATGTTTTTATGTAACAAATAAACCATTATCAGCAACATGAATACTTCTAGACAGTTCAGATCTTTCATCCTTAGCACAAAAACCCCACATGTCAAGAAGAATAAATGGTTTACCGATATTATTTCCACTGTCGAATGAGTAATCAACACTGTCCACATGATCAACACCCGAGAAGCTCAACTGATTTTCTTGATCAAGTATAATGTCTGAGCAACTCAATGCTTCAACAGTCTTGTCAAATGGTGTCATCATCCCTTTGTTTGAAATGCTCGCCAAACTTTGCCAAGCGATCTTCCAAACAAAGTATACCACATCAACTTCTATTATAGCAGCTGCACTAACTTCGCCCAAAGTGACTGCTCTTTTCAAACAAGCAGCCTTCTTAACCCAATTCTCCAGCCCCAAAGTTTCAGTTCCACCTTTGAAGGCTGTCACCGTTTCATTCCCAGGAGTAAGTAACGCACTGGCCCCATTCCCTTGACTACTCATAGTTGCCAGAATGAAATCAGAGAGTGGATCATTTGTTAACATGCTAAAGACCTTATCATCAGTACTCCACATGCCATGTTTGATTATTGTAACTCCCCGAAACTCATAGAACATTGTAGTAGGAACATAAATAACAACTGAATTCCTAGCACTAGATAGTAGTTCTATTCCAGTCGCATCAACAATAGAACCAATAATAGAGAAGCTCAAGTGACGTTCTTGATCAATCTAACAGTCCCATCCAATCACTGCCCAAATAGTACTGTCAAGTGGTGTCCTCATCTCTGCTGCAACACCCAGTGCAGATACAGGACAATCATCTAATTTTATATTCCAGTACTTGCTACAGACGAGTGCAAAGGCTCTGGAAATTGCAGCCACTTTAAGAACATTATTTGTGACACTGATAAACCCATCATCTTCAGCAATTAATTTCCGAATTGTGATATCAGTTATCTTTAAAGACTCATTACCATAAAAGCCAGTAGTGAGCTGCTTCTTCACATGATCCCCATAGATAACAATGGTGTCAGCAACCATTCGATTTTGCAGCTGAGGTTTGACACATCCTTCTTCGCTAAAATAATTCTTGTCCTCAAGAATTAAACAGATAGGACGGACCAATCGTCTTAAATAAGTGCTACCTTGAAAACCAGTCGCTACTTCAGGCCATGACTTAGTTAGTCTATCATCGTCACCAAGTCTCGCATCAGCATAAATCAAGAAATCACCCTCACTGATTATCCCATTCGTATTATCAGGTCCACCAAAATGATCAGAATTACATGCCAATGTGTCCCACACACCACTCGAACTATCACTAAGCAGCAAAACAACAACACTAGCATTATGATCAAGATTCAGACCAATAGAGTCATCAGTTCCATCAAAGACGGACCTCTTTTCCTCATTACTACTTGAATCATCGGTAGAGAGGGAAGTATCCATAGGACATTCTATTCCCTTCATAGTTGAATTAACTGTGCCAACAGAATTACCACCCAACCTCTTAAACCCTTTCTTATCATCATTACGTCTAAATTCTTCTGCAAATTTCAGACATTTACCAACAATAAATAAACCTTTGGAGCTGGAAGAGATCTTTGGTCCACCAGGATCAACAAGGATTGAGTTCAACCAAACCACTCTATGAAAGAAGTCAGGAGCTGCCGCAAGTTTGCAACCGACAAACTCTACGACTTTCTCAATACACACAGTATCAACGCAATTATTAGTTACAGGTACAAGGGAATCATGCAATCTCACATCAATATCATGTGCAGATCTTGATTTAACCATACCATCAAAAACTCGCAGGTGATAAATTTCACTTAAGACCAGACTCACCTATGGAATCATCAACCTCATCAGCATTCACTATCACAGTAATATTATCCGCTTCGACTAACATTTTACAAGCACATGCCGGTTCATTCACAACCTTATTTCCATTACTCAAGGAATCACTGTCACCATTTTCATTAGTACCAACTAAGTGCATAATACCAATAACGTCACCAGGGTAAAAAATAAAACTACTTGGAAGAATTTTTCCCGTTAAAAGACACTGCAAATCAGCACTTATCGTTATCTTCGTTTTATCAATTCCAATCACACAATCAGGATCTTTGGTATTATCAATCGTCAGATCATTTAATATTTCACTAGTGACCAAAACAACCTCCGAATCAGTTATATCGAAATCATGACTAGAATTAGATTGAATCAAACTAGTTTCAACTGAACTTATCGTTTTAACATCATCACTGTAATGCATACTTTCGACAGCAGTAATCCCTTTATCCAAAATGAAAGTATCATCAACACTTAGCTCAGTTTCGTACGAGGAGTTACCATTCTAGGTTTCCAAGGGACTGTCATCAGGTGAACCATCCTCCACTCCTTGTGTGCCCAGATATTAACCCGTAGAGTTGGCCTGATGTACTTGCCGAATCGGAGTTCCAATTTTTTTAGCGAATTCTTTCCAATTCGATAATTGGCCAACCGATATCAAACCGTAAAGGAACCTCAAGAGTTCGCCGGTTAAATAGAAAGTGGTCGTAATTATTTTCTGACGAGAAGGTGTGAAATTATAGAAGAAGAATTCCTCTATCAAATCCAGCCACTCGGTAAGTTTCTCACTGGAAAATAGGGGGATCCCCGAAGGTGAAGGCTCTGGTAGATTGAAGGTCGTCGGGTGCAGGCGAGACAATTTCAGATACTGGAAGCAACAATGAGGCTCGAACCTCAAAAAGATCGAACCTCATGGTTTCGGGATCAAATAGAAAAAACAAAGGTTGGTGCGATCTAAGAACGGAGAAATCGCACAGATTTCAGAATGGAGGAAGGAAGAAAGGGATTTCAGATTTCAGAGCGTTGAGAAAAGAAGGGGAAGAAGAGAGTGAAGATAGTGAATCCGATATAGAGACGGCCGAGAATCGTCCGCTATGATACCAAATGTCACGACCCGGTGGCCGGAGAGGTGGCCGGAAGGCAGAAACGGAGAATTAGACGGTGGTCGTAAAGAAAATTAGGGTTCGAGGTCTGAGAACGACGAAGGAGGAGAGAAAATTGGATATTCCAATTCAATACAATAATTTTGATGATTGATTTTACAGCCCCGACTACTATTTATAGTCCAACTAGTTTCTCAAACGACACTCAAGTCCCTATACTTTCAATACCAACGATTAGTCAGGGGGGTGACATATATGCAAAGCTAAATTATATCTGTAAGTGTAGTTACCAAATCTTCAAGCACATATACTAAACCTGAAATCTTCTAGGCCCAGATTATATTCTTTTGGTAGAAAGTTTGCATTTACTCCTTAGAGCCCAATCTTGCCTAATCCTGCTAAATACCCTTTTTCAACCCCATAAAATCATATTTATCTTAAGCCCAATAGTCGATCGTTTATTTCTCTTTCCCTTTTATTTTTCTTCTATATTGTTCGATTAATTTTTTCTTACCTTTTCAGTAGAGTTAAACAAATACAGCCCCTTTTTCCATTTTCTCATCATCCAAAGTTATTTAGAAACCAACATTACCCAATATTCACTACTATTATTAATTAATTTAGATCAACACCAACACAAATTAATCATCAAATTTTCAAAACTATTCCTCAGTCCCTTTTAACCTTCTTTCGGCTAATAGACACTCCAAACTATGAAGGTTTCTAAGACCTAACTAATTGTTACAAAAAAAAATGCAAAAATATAAACTTCTTTTACTTATATATGACATGTGATATTAGGTTCTACAATTTCTACTAATTAATGAGCATGTAGTGACTATTAAACTAAACATGCAAATATTTCCCAAATGTGTAGACTAACTACATGTAATTTCCATTAGTTAGTGATATCATTGTCATAAATAATTAACAAAAGAATAAAACAATTTTTCCACTTTAGCTCTTTTAGTTTTCTTCTCTTCTTGATGCCCCCTTTTCATTTGTTTGGAGTGATGAGAATTGAGGTAATGTTTGATAATTATGGAAGGTTGGGGTTGTGGTGTAGCCGGAGGTGAAGGAGAATTTACGGAGGGAAGGGGTTTTGGTGGGCAAGAAAATGAGTGTGGGTGTATGCTTGGGGGTGGGACGTGAGAAATGGAGAGAGGGGAGTAAGGGAGTAGTTTAAGAATTGATTAATTAACTTGCATGCAATCTAATTGGACAACATTTAGGTAGGGGTTTAGCAATAATTTTAATTTAGTTTAGGCAATCCTATAGGTTTTAGACTTAGTTAAATAGGTATTCCGATTTAGTTTTGGTTCTCACGTTTGTCCTATCATTTATCATGGCATAAGTTATTAATAAAGTGGTTTAATTTATACATAACTTATAGGTGAATATGTCATTTACACTTCAATGACTTTAACTAAGGTAGTTGTTTCAAATAGTTTTATTTAGACAAAGGAATCCGGAAAGCAGGCGTCACAATCCTTCCCCCTTAAAAGAATTTCGTCCTCGAAATTCACAATACGCCTAGAAGATTTGAGAGATATCATGACAAGGAAATTTATTGATAATAAGTAAAAAAAAAAAATACAAATGTAGTGCTTAAGACTTACCCGAAAGAAGAACCATCTTATAAAGATTTTCTAAAATCTTTTGACAGTTCTAATTCAAGATTACAGTTAAGAACTGTCTTACAAAGGTTACTCTAAGAATCTCATGACAGTTCAATTTTATAAACTGAGAAAGAAAACTATTCTAAGATGCTGCTTTACACAGATCATACAAGAATCTCACAGTAACACTCTAGGTCTAGCTATTTAAACTAAAAGCTGTCTCACAAAAATTTTCTAAAAATCTCATGACAGCTTTCTATTATACTCAACTACCTAATTTGAAGATATGGAAAAGACCTTTGATCTAGGTATAGAGTACCTCTCAAAGAATTAGGAAGGCTAGCTGGACTATCATGTTCAAAAGTTGCCCTTGTGATGCTCTTTTTGATAATCCATCTGCCAAAGCATTTATTTCACAAAAAATATGCTGCATTTTGAATCCAGTTCTATGTAAGATACCCTGGATTTGATTCAACGAGCTATCATGTCTCCAAGGAAATCTTTTGCCTTTTTATACTAATTGGACCACCAATTTGTTATCTGTTTGAAGTCTGACTTTCTGATACCCTTGTGCTTCTGCCCACTTCAATCCTTGTAGTATGCCTTCTATATCTGCTGAAAGGCTATTAGATTCTCCCATGTATCTACTTATTTCTTTGATAAAGCTGCCTCCATCTGCTCTTGCCAAAAAGCCCCACCCCAATTCACCTGGACTGTCCAACCATTGTCTGTTGATGATTACTTCTCCAGGTTCCAGTGGAATCCAGCTTAGTGAAGTGATTTTCATGTCTTTTCTCTCTTTAATTTTGACATGATAAATATCCTTTAGCTCTTGTATCTTGGCCATTGTCTTTGCTCGTAACTCATGAATGCTCAAGATCGTTGAAACGTTAGTTCGAATTTCATGAGTTATTGTATCAAAAGAAAATTTGGTACCTTCATAAAATAATGGATGGTATATCATAATGATGGTTTTTTTGCTGTTTATGAAATTTCCAACTGAATACCATGCTTGCATGAAACCCCCACAAACCTGCACTAAAGGGTAAGAAAATTCCATATATAGATAAAAAATAACCCCAAACCTTTCTAACCTGTGGACATTCATAAAAGACATCCTGTATACTTTCTTCGGCTTGAAGGCAGATTGAACGCCGAGTTGGGTAAGAGGAAAAACCCATCTTCTGTAGTATCTCTGGGAAAGTCACAAGCTGAATATATAACCTCCATAAGAAGAAAGAAATCTTGATTGGAATAAGTTTATTCCAAAAGAATTTTAGAATTGGGACTTCTTGATTTCTCTCCCTAATTTCCGAATATGCGGATGCTTAACTGAAGTCTCCCACCACTGAGGGTTTCTACATTTGCTTGTCCTCCTCTTGAGAGAAATTTAGATCCGTTCCTTCTAGATAGTATCATTTCATTGATCATGAATAACCTTCGAGATAGCTAGTTCTCTATACTATTGAATGCTAGTCCAGTGGGGTTTTTTTTAAAGCTATAAGGGGTATTAAGCAAGGAGACCCTCTCTCTCCGTATATCTTCATTTTGATTTCGGAAGCATTGACTCGACAGCTTAAAATGCTCATGGAAAGTGGAAGAATAGCGTCATTCAGCATCCATCCAGAACGTTTGAGGTATAACACTTATGCTTCGCCGATGATTTGATTATTTTTACTAAGGGCCCCAACATTCAATGGAGCAGCTGAACATCTTTTTCCAAGAATATGAAGTAGCTTTGGGTCAAAATATCAATAAAAATAAAAGCTTCTTCCTAGCTTCTGAAAAGTCTTCCTCGCTACACATTGATATGGTTCATAGAGTTCTTCAAATGCCAAGAGGGAATTTTCCTTTCGTATACTTGGGCTGCCATGGAAGGAAAAAGTCTCACTATTTTTAACATCTCCTTGATTCCGTTGATGCTAGGCTTTCAAATTGGAAAAACAAAATGTTTTCCTCCGGAAGAAGATTGCTCTTGATTAGACATGTTTTAGCTGCTATACCTGATGAAAGTAAAATATATACACTTTTAGCACGCATTTTCTACTTATTTTTACTTAGAATTAGGTGTCAATTAGTTAGAATTATTTTACTTTTGGATTGATTTTGTATTTCAGGGTAATCAAGGGGCCAATGTGGAAAATCAGCATAAATGAGGGCCAAATTGCACAAAAGAGCATCATTTTGAACTGAATTGGAAGCTGCTGGAATTCAGGCTACTGGAGGATCAATCAGAGCTGGAGCAAGTGGAGAAATCCTTGCTGAGGAAGGAAGAATGGCAGAAGATGATTACAACTGGAAGAAATCTGCAGCACCACACTCAATTGAGGAGAAGAAGGGCAGCTGCTCTGCTGCCAAGTTGCTGCTGTCAATCAAGGAGGAGCCATGAGCTACAATCTTGGTGCCCAAGGAAGGAAATTGCTTTTCCATCACTGCAAGTTGTTAGCGCTGTAAGTAGAAGAAGAGAAAGAGGGAGAATATATGATGGAGACCATCTAGCTAACACTAATGGAAAAGGACATGTTGCTGCCAATAATGGAGAGGACGAGCAAGTTGAGGTCGTGAATGCTAATGGAGGATCTAAAGATGCTGCTTTAAAGAATAATCCTTACATTCGTGATCCACTCTCAAATATTGTTGGACCAATGACTCGTGCTAGACGCAAAAGGATGAATGAATCACTTAATAGTCTAATTACTACT